ACTAAAAAGCTGCATTAAAGTATTATTTTTCCACTGACCGTTAGGAATTCATTGTCAAGAAGGCAAAAACTCCTTGCAGAATTTGGAAAATTAATCTTTATGATCTAGATGTTAAAGATATCTGGTAAAACAATTACACTGCAGCAAAAGGACACTGTGAGAACTGTAGATACGAGCACCCATCCAGGGAACGTATAGCTCTGCTAGCTGAAATTAATCCCACAACAAGACACTACCAATATCTATGTAAGGAAAATATAGGTAATACACTTACGCTTTTGAGGTGACATTGTTAGCCAAGGAGCCTTCATAGTATGGAATGCCCTTGCTGATTACAACATTGATTTGGCCACCGAGAGTATTTGACACAACGCCTGCGTGAACACCAGCCATACACAGTGATGATGACTTGAAGAGGGAGGAAAAAAATTCATATTATAAAGTAAATAAATACCACACCGTATATTGTAAATGCTACAGCATTCAGTTATAGTCTGTGTTATTATTACATTAAGATACTGTTTTTATTTAACTGTTATCTCTCTTATTTAGAACCATTCATCTTCAGTTTATTATGGAACTTATAAAAAAACACAAAAAGAAGGTTCTACATTTCACTGCCTCCTCGCCCAGATGTGTTTGGAATGTTACTCCCGTAATTAAATAACCTTAACCAACAGCAAGGTGAATCAGTCTGAAAAAGCCAGACAGCCAAACTTTCAGCCAACAATAAATTATGTTAGACAACACAAGTTAAAGACGTAAATAGATGGAAAACCTTTTAATAGAAAGCACATTGAAAGGATGTTTGTTTATTTTCTCACAATTAAGGAGCAATGCATTGCAGATTTTGTAGCTTTTTGCAGAGGGGTTATATTTTTTATTTTAACTCCTGATTAAACATGATTTAGCCACCAGCACTGAGACCCATATAAGCCCACAGTAATACATGAATACAACCCATTCTACAGAAGTCAATTACCTATGTTGCACAGGTCAGTGAAGATCAGTTACACAAAATGTTTTTGCAGGGTATCATGTTCTTGCCTCCTCTCCCTGGACGACTGTATCTACTAGCAAAAATCACAGTGACACTCCCCTGGCTTGCAGGCTGGCTGTGCCACAGTGAGCATTACACTAAGTACTTTGGGCACTGCACAGAGTGATCAGAGAAAGATGCCTCTGTCTCCTGGACCTAAACTAGTCCAGCTGGTAAGCAAATCCTTCCAGGCCAAAGGGGCTTGACCAAGAAACATCCTAGTGCTCAGGAGCAGAGAGACAGTCCAGTCATAAAAAGCATAGCAGTAGTGGCTTTGCCACCTGCCCACCATGTGCACCAAGGCTTCTGGAGGATTACTGCTACATACAGTGCCACAGACAGAGACACAGCTATTCACAGGTGTTTCTGCAATGTGCAGCACAGGGGGATGCACAAACACATTGCAATTCTGCAGACACTCACATCCAACAAGACTGGGATCAGCACAGCTCCCCTTTCCACTGAAAGAGCACGGGAGTCTGCAGTAGATGCAGCTCTCTCCTCCCTGCTCACCAGAAGATGTCAGCAATGAGAGCTCCAAGCCCACAAAGCCTGTTGACATTAGGGTCACACAGAAAAGAATCAAGATTTAGGGTATTTTTTTTAAAGCAGCAAGCACCTGCTGTTCATTTGAAAGACAGACATGAGAAACCTCTACCTGAAACTTGGTCTAAAGTGCTGGACATTTGATTTTTTTTCCACACAGCTTGACTTCTGGGAAATTCTCTCCCTTTTTATTCAGAGAAATAAAGTGTACAAAAAGAAAGTCACAGGGCATTAATTTCCTAAAGTTTCCATTTTCTTCCATAGAAAACAATTCCAGATTTTGGAAAAAAAAAAACAAAACTTGCAAAAAGCGGAACTCTTACAGATGCTGCAAATATGTTAGGCAGAGAATCAACTTTGTCTTCTTACCAGCTACAAAAATTACCTCACAGCCACTTAGTGAGGACTCACTGTGGACCAGAACACATAACATAGCTACACTGTGGTGACATTTTACATGTGAGTGATTATTTAAGCAGGTAGCCTAGTATTTACAGATAACTGAAAAAAGAAAACCAGTCAGGCACACTTTAGCTTCATATTTACTACTAAAATCTTTGATTACTAACATTCTTAATTGTCTTTCCTCTGTGCTAGATCTAATGGCTTATTAAAGGAGTATTTTAAAATAAACAAAGATACTTCACGCAATTTTTATTAGATTGCTAGCAAAATTATAATTGCTTTAAACAAAGCAAACATTCTCCAGTCCTAGGGCAAGTCTGTTAATTCATTTGCAAAAGCTTACATAAGAAAAACATGGTACAGTTTTTTGTCATGTTTTAAGTAAATAGTACATTATTAAAGATTTTCATTTCCAGTTTACAGAACTACTAATGTTGAAGTATTAACATTGTTTTGTAAATTATTTTAGAGCTACTGAGCATAAACAGTATTTCATCTCTCAAGCTGTAATTAAAAAAAAAAAAAAAAAAAAAATCAAGATAACCACTGAGACCCTGTTGAGAAAGGCATTAAAATGTCAAAACCAAGTGGACATCTTTAAAAGAACTAGTTCTTTCTTTATAAATCTTGATTTCCCAACCTGAGAAAACCAACAAAACCAAAACAGGAAGTAGAAAACAATACTTGGACTGATCCACCTCTCCCTGCAGCCAACAAAAACATTTGATACACTACTACTTCACTTCTTGGAGATGGCAACATCTGAAACACCTGTCGTTTAGCAGCAGTGCAAAAATGAGTACCACATTACTCACTTTCAGGAGGTACAAAGTCCAGCAGCCAGGAAGCAGAACTAATGTCAACAGCCATAACTGACTTGTATTATACATTGTGTGTTTCACCAAAATTCACTTCAGCCCACAGTACTTTTACTTACATCTCTGTATCCATGAGGAATAGTGCCTGAAATATCAGCAAAAGAAATCACACATCCAGCTGGACAATACTTACTAGAAGAGAACAAAATATCAAGTCAAGATCCAGAAGCACCAGCAAGTCTTTTAATGCTATAAAACAGACATTATGTTTTTGATTTAGGGTACACTGTTATTCATATATCACTACGTGCTAATTGAAGACTTATCAAATCAGACAAAAATATTCTCAGAGGTACATAACAGGAGAACAGACATTGCAAAAAGTTTAAAAGCCTCAGCTGAATGTACAGTCCCAATCTCAGTATGATAAACTAATAAAGCCAGCATTTAATAATCTAAATACCGCATGGCTCCTGTAAAAGTCACATAAGTACCATATTAATACATTTTATTTTCTAAACTGGAGACCAGTGTATCTACTTGTTTTGCATATTTAAATAACACATCTGAAGTAATGCTGTTTTGTAATAGTTTTGGCAGTGCTTTGATCACAAAAAAATGTCCCAATTACCACTAGCTCATGAAAAGCAAGAGGCAAAACATCTGCACCACTGAAGTAAGTCTGTGTTCATGTTCTAGGGCCATTTCATACTGCACATATGAAAATTATTATATCTTCAAAATTTAAAAGTGAACTGGAGTAAACTTATTAACATTTTCAGAGCAGTACAACAACAGCTGAAGCAATGTTGCAGGTTCCATGAAAACAGTGGGATTCAGAGACTTTAGCACATGTTGAGTAAGGCCAGAACCTACAATTAGACTCCCATTTTGGAACTTGGGAAAATGAAACACAAAGGTTGCACTTAGAAATGTTTCGTGATGCCAGGCCTTAAGTTCTCCAAGAAGTAAGCTTAGGTACTTCACAATAGTCTGCAGCTTTAAACACTGTCCTTGCTTGAGATGGAAATGGAGAATGAGAAAACAGGAAACTGACATAGGTTTCTGCCATCACAAGGCAGAGAATTCTGTGTCTCCACAGAACCTCATTAATGCACACCAAACTGTGAAATGGGTTTGGAATTTTTAACACCTTTCATTGTTTAGTGCTCCTTAGGTAACTGTAATATGAATTTCAGGATGTAAGGTGTGTACCTGCTGTAATATTCTATGGGAATGAGATATTAGCTTCTATGTGTTAGTGCAAATTAACGAGGTTCTACTGTATACTGCATGTAAATAACAAAAACAGCAGAGAAAGAGGGAGGAAGGAAGAGTACAAATGTCAAAATTATCCAGCTCTGACCCTAATCAGTTTGTTTCTCAAGTTCTCTGGATGGCCAATTTTCAAAGTGCATCAGAAATAAGTAACAGAGAAGTAGAAACACGAAAATTACATCACTAAAGAGATTGAGGGGAAATAGGTAAAAATCAGTCTTACTTGAATTCTGGTTCGGAAAAGTGACTTGCATTGTCTAAACAGGTAATTAAGTCTGGAAAGAAAAAATGTTAGATCAAGAGGATGATAAAGACAACAAGCTTGAATATGCTTTTTAAAGTGCATAAAAATATACATTTGAGCCTCTGAGGCTTAACCAAAAGTCTCAGAATGAAATAAACGCATTCCTACTAAATTTTCTTGCAACTGATTTTGTATTACAGTAGAACCTTGATAATTTGTCTGAATAACTGAGAAACTGACCGAGAATGTGACATAAGGCATGAAGAGACCTAAGACAAAAAAAGAGAATGTGACATAAGGCATGAAGAGACATAAGACAAAAATCCATTTTCTGTGCAGCTTAATTTTAACATAAAGCCATATTCAGAGGACCCAAGATAATTCCAGGACACAAACATATGCTCTTTTCACAAAATGAAATTAATAAGCTCCCTAGAGAAGCCAGTGTTTTCAGCATTTAACAGTTCTGCAGTGCTGAACCCAGGCACTACAAGGAACAAATATTAGAGTGCCATGGTAGTGGCACCCATGACTGATGCCTCAAATTTCATGCTTATGTCTGCTGTGTATCAGCACATACAGTCCAAAACACAGAAAGAAAGTATCAAAACCCCCACAAAATTTAAAATTGAAACATTATCTGCTCTGTTTAAAATTACTTCCAGAAAAGAAGGTGGCGTTTTCTCAAGCAATTGATGGCAATCCTACATTTCCTCATGGATCATGTACATCACTCACCTTTACCTTCCACTCACCTGAGTGGAAGGAGATGCAAAATAAATACAGTAACGTCTTTTAGAGGCTTAGAGTAACCAAAACCATGGGGAAAAAAAAACCCAGAAATGACTAAAAACTAGTCAGCAGATTATATAATTAAAGAGCTGAGGGAGTATAGGATACTGCTACTGAAATAAATTTTTCCATGAGGTTAGTCTCTATAAAATAAACATAGTTTGATACGAAAACTTGTTATCTGTCACCTTGACTACTACCAGATAAATGCACTCTGTCCTTAATCTGAAGCAGTTCTGTCCTAACAGACAAGTGACATTCTTACTCTACTATTGAAGGTAAGCTTTGATACCATTTCCTTGAAAGTACAGCAATTTACAAGTAACTGGTAGTCCAATTTCCTACGCAGAAGTATCAGGAAAAGTGTACTAAATTTTTACAAGTTAATTTGTGAGAGTGTAGGAATAAATAAATTAGTTCTGTGTTTTTACTAGCCAGCGTCAATTTTGCCAGCAAATACCTGATTTGTCAGTGGTTGAATAAGCTGCAAGAAATCCACGTCCAGAGGTGTGAATTCCACTCATGAACTGTACTGTGACTTCATTACTTTTTGAAGTAATTACACCATCCATTTGAAAGCTAAGCCCACAGTATTTTCCTGTGGAGAGAAGAGGGAGAACAAATATTGACTCAAACCAATGTATGTAACGAGCATCTTATTTCATTTGCAGCGTAGGCTCACATTACTCCTGGCATATATTCAAAAACAAATACATGTGCATGACACTAAATAATTTAGTGTCCATTTGAAGCAAATGGCAGACTTTGAGTACCACATTTATTTTGTCACTGTCAACAAGAGAGAGTCTCTCATAGCCCTCTAACCACAAGGGTAGTCAGTACTTCAAAGAACATGCAAAATCTGTCCAGGAAAAGGATCAAGTTAGGGCAATGAGAAGCTTCTAGAGAAGCAAATGATAAAAAAAGCCCTCCTCTTCCCTCAGCTGCTGGGGCGCTTCTTCCTTGTTGACTCTCTCATGGCTTTTGTCAACTCCTTTTCTTAGTTTTGGACAACAGCAGGCACTACTCACTGCATTTCAGCAGTAAGACACCAGCATATGTGGGCACCATTAATATAAACTGCCACTTGGTTCACTTTCTGTTTTGCTGCACCTATAAAATGTAACAGAGGCTCTGTATCTGGATACTTCTCTTGCCATACAAGATGAACAAAAATAACACAATTTAAACTGAGATGGCTGGAGTCTGCAGAGATTGAAAATATTTGCCCTGTGAAGTTCTAGAATTGCTACCAAATCACATTCATGAACAAATGGCTGTTAAACAGACTCAAGTCAATATGGAATTCTCTAGTCCTACTAACTAGAAACTTTAATAAAGACACTGCTCAGTTCACTAGCCTGTTAAGAAAAAAATCCACTTCTGTTCTACAGGCTCTCTTGGTCATTTCATAGTGTAAATCATCTATAAACCTATGCAAGATTCTGCAGTGGATAATCAAAGTGGATAATCACCAGCAGCAAATGACACTGCCTGTTTCAGTTTACCATTCATTTATTTCCTTTCCTCATAATAAGTATGCTATCATACTCTAAAACAGCAAAAAAAAAGAAGCAAGCCTCCTTTCTCAATGAAATGCAAGTTACAACACTAAATTAGAGGGAATGGAGTTCCTTTAAAAAGTGAACTGCACTCTCAAATGCTAATTAAATAATTTTTAAAATTTTGAAAACCTAAAATACAAATTCCTATCATTATCCAACACTTTATAAGTGTTGCTTATTCAAGATTTTTTTAACAAAGCAAAGGTATTTTCTAGTAAAAACCAGAAAACAGATTTTACAATACTTAAACACAATTTAAAATACTATACAAATATAACCTTACCTCTATTCACTACTTAAACTGGTAATCAGCATGTTACAAAGAGGTAAGATCCTTTTTAATGCAGCTCCACATCGAGCCTGTGTTCTAAGTCACATTTCACTGATTAACTGTATTCATTATGATGAACAGCATAATTTTTCCAACTACCACTTTTGTTTTCCTTTTTTTGAGCTTTGTTTTCAGCCACTGGATCTTGTTACACAGTTGACCAGCATGAGACTCCTCTCAGTGTAGGTCAGACTGTCCTCAAGACACCATTCCTTCCATTCCTCAGGCAAATACACAGTGTAAGACATTTAAATCTAGCTTGGATAAACTATCCAGTGCTGCTTACACCATGGACATACTGCCTTTGACAAACTGTAGACTGATGCACCTTAGGATTCATGGCAAGGCATATTTTTGAGACTATAAATCATTTTCCTAACTCTTCGCTGGCCACGTGCCAGATTTTTAGCAATCTTTTTAAAAAGGCGGCACTAGAAATGGACAAAGCATGACCGCAGTGACACTTCTGCCAACTGCATGTGCAGAAGTTGCAATATTACTGTTTTGTCTGTATTTATGCACTGAAGGACCCCAAGTGCTTTTGTACAGCAACATTGCAGCAGGAGAGGGAATTCCCATGTCTTAAATAAGCATATCTGACTGCAGATGCACAGTGATTAGACTGTAATGAAATCTAATTAAAAACACCTCTAGATCTTACATTAGAGACAAACTTAACACCAAGGATTTAAATCATCTTTTGATTTCTTAATATATATTCAAGAGGCTTGGAATAAGCTTCATTAGAAACTCTCCCTGTTTATCAATGAACTAAACCATTAACAATTTGGTTTTTAATCTAATCAGCCAATTTTTAAGTTCTTTTTGTGTTAAAATATGTATGATTGAATTTCAGATTTTATGTATTAGGAGTCTTTTTATGTTAGACCATGTCAGTAGCCTTGAATGGAAAAACTTAGGATAAATTCAGATTTCTTCCAAAGAAATTCAGGTCACTATTTAATGTCTCCAGTGTCTGTTGCTTCACACATGAACATTCAAGAACCTGCATCATCTGTATCTGCCACTGTTAATATGACTGTTCTGCAAATTAGTTTATTAAGAGCAGAACAACACACACATTTGCTCAACATACTGTGCTACTACACCAGCTGGGAACGGCTGAAAATCAAGAGAAACAAATGAAGTAGAAAATTTACTTGAACCCATTAAGTCACTTGTAAAAGTGAGTAATAGACTTATCAGAACTTGATGTTCATTGCCATTTAAGGCATTCAGTGTTTCCTATTTTAGACTAAGTCTGGCTCCACAGCTCCAAGCACATACTTATTTCCACACACACTTACCTAGGTAACAGTTGGAAAACAGGGTTAACAAAGCTAACACTCCACTAGCCTCTTTATAAAAAGACTCAGTTTACTGGGATTGTCATTTGGGTTGCACAAAAACAATCTTGGTGATGTAGATCTCTTTCTCTCTCACTACATTAAAGTTTTAGGAAAGAAAATAAAATAAATCTGCATAACAACAACTAATTTTAGAGAAGGAAGAATGACAATTCATTTTGAGTTTTATGCAAAGTAACCGCAAGGGTCTTAACACCCTACATATACCTTCATGTAGATGATAACATCACACTGCTATTTGAAAAAAAATAACAAAACATTGTCTTCTAGTAATGAAATTCAATTTGCTCTCCTCAACAGGGCAAAAATGAAACTAAGAACATAATCAGAAGATGGAGGATACTTGAACTCCACAACTTTTGAAGCCTGACATCCTTTAATACCACCAGGATGAACAATCCAAATGAGAGCAAATTCATTTAAAAAGAAAGGCATTTCAGGTTAGATAGATAGATAGATAGACAGATAGATACACACACTTTTTTTTTAACTTTCCTTTTTTTTTTTTAATGAATATTCTTACAGTTTTGCAATTCCCTCTCCACTGCCTACAAGAACTTTGGAAAGGTACTGAAAATGCCTGAGGAAAAAACCACATCACAGTGGAGTTTCCTTTGAGAATCTCAAGAATCAAAGATTATCACAGGATCTGCGTTGCATTTACCATCTAGCTGTTGTCAAAAAGCAACAGAAGTACTAACAGTATATCCAAGGTCCATACAAGACAATAGTTCTCGAACACCAGAAATAAAAGCTCCTACCTATCTCTGTCCTGTTGGGACCAATTCCATTGTGAACTCTTAAGTAACTGGAATGACAAGAGTCTGAGTCATCAATATCGAAATCGCCAAATTTGAGCTGAACTCGCTGCCCAGGTTTTACACGGATTTCCCATTCACAAACTGTGCTATTGGGAGAGGTCTGTGGGTAGTTTATCGAAGCAAGAGTTCCACTTTCAGGGCCCAGAACAGTGTGTCCACATCCATCACCTACAAAAGAACAAAAATGAATCAGCTCACACATTCATAATCAAAGCTTCACTGGTCATTCAGTCATTCCACACTGATCATGTAGCAAGAAAACTCTTAAAGTCACATGCAGATGAAACTCAATTGTGAGAAAATACCATACAATGAATGTTGCCTTATGTTTAGCTTCTCATCCTAGGTGACCAGAGAGCTGCAACAACTTCCTCAATGAGATGAAAATTCAACCCATAATGACTTTCAAAATTGCACAGACAGTACAGAAAGAGTCCCTGCATTTCATGTTCCCTCAACACCTCAGTACAGCAGGAAAAAATGTTCTGAAAAGGAGAGAGAAACCTGACAATAAAACAAGAGCATGTTGGGTTTACTGTGGTTACTGTATTCACAAGACAATGAAAAAGAAGCGACAGAAAGCCAGTGGACAGCAAATATTCTCCCGAACACAGCTCTGACCATTATCTAACTGCTAGTACTTTGTTCTCCACTGCACCACAAAATTAATGCTGCAATTCATTCTTATTTAGAGAACAGACTCAATTTTTCTAGGTTTGCACACTGCATTAAATTATAACTACAACCCGGAGCCCTCAACATTTGAGTATTGATTTTAAACAGCAATAACAATGCAAAAGACCACCTGTTTAACACGTGGAAAAAATACAAATTATGTATTCTCAATATCAAGTTATAAAGAGCAAATAAGTAAATCTAATTACTAATCTAATTACGCAACATGAATTTCCCCCAGTATATTATACAAAAAGTGTAAGAATTTGTATGTTGGTTTGAAAATATGAATGTTCTTAAAGCAATATTCACAATGATCAACATGATTTGTATTGACACAAGTTTGTTTTGACAGCTTAAAGTTCAGTCTGAAAGTATTTCATATTACACAATAATGTGTAGTTCCTCTGCTAAACATGAAAAGGTAAGCTAAGCTTCAGGGACAAAAATTGTACACATATTTAAGAACTTTAACTAAATTTCAGAATTTTTAAATGTATTTCGTGCAAGACTGAATGGAAAAGTAAGTGCAATGCACTGAAGTGATGTGGGTAAAATAAACTCTGATTAACTTAACTAGGCCTGATTAATCTGTTTGCAAACACACCTAATTTCTAGTAACAAAAACTATCCTCTTTACAATCTGAGCACACTGAAAAATAGCTGCATGTTCTAAAAGCTAAAGTGCTGCTGATAAATACAGAATCATAAACAGGTGCAGATGCAAACTGAAGCTGTTTTTCTTGCGAGCAGTCTTGAATCAAAATGACGCATCTTTTGGATAAGTTAACTGGAATATCTGCTTCAGTAAAACCAAATTTTGTATTTGTAAAGCTCAGCCATGCTTTTATTAATGCAATTTGCTTTAAAACACTTTGTCCTATCCCATGACAAATACTATTTCCATTTGAGTGACAGCTGATAAATTACTTTTCTAAACTGCCTTTGTTCTAATACATGAGACAATTGCCCAACGCTACAAAGAGCTAACTCAAGCTGTATGTTTGGTGCATCATTATAATCCTGCTTGCTTTCAAAAGGCATGTTATAAACCTAAGAAAAGTGAAAGATTTATCATTCAAAACTTGTATGGTCTTGGTTTATTAGTTAGCAAACACTGAGATGTCAGATTCTTTATTAGTCCCAATGTGCTTAACAATCAAGTAAAATTGATTCCTTTGCTAGTAAATTGGCTTTTTGCAAGCAAGTACTCACATCCATTACAAAAATACATGGCACGTATTAGATTAACAACAATAAAAACATGGTGATATTTGTGGCTAGTATTTCAAAAGTCTTTGTATTGCAGCCATATAAAAATTATTTTCAATGCAAGCAGCAGTTTTAGGTTACGTCCTAAACAAAAACAATGAGTCAGTTAACCAGTTCTGTGCTTTTCCTAACCTGAGACTGGGTAATCAACTGCTTACTCATTTACAGATTGAAAATATTATACAGCTACACTAACACAGTGGCATTTTGAAGATGAAATCATAATAGCTTTCACCTGCATGGGCAGATACACTGCTCTGACTTTCATTTTAAGGAAAATAAAAATGGTTGCACAAATGAGAATGCTCGGTAGTTAATTAATTCACATCTCAATGGGCCTGTTATTGCAATGCAGTAACAGCACAGATGCTATTTCTTACAACCAGGAATACCAGTTAATGCACATGATTCTGTATCTTTTTTCTGCATCTTAAACTTCTGCTACTGAAAGTCAAAGAAGAGCTTGTGTCTTTTCTTTGACTTAAACTGTAAACGTGAAGATGGACTAGATGATCTGTGATTTCTCCAGTTACAAGTATACAAGATGATGCCTAACATTCGTTCAAACCATTCTCCCCACTAGCTTGTGTTCAGCTGTCTCAAGCGTGAAACAATACCTGCGCTGTGCCTGTGTGATGAACAGGGCACACCTGTCTGATGAGAAAAGCAGAAGAACTCCAAAACCACTCTTACGTGTTTAGGTGACAAAATGGAAATAAAATATTTTAAGTTTTAAAAAGGCATTGAGACTTTTCTCTTAAAGATGACTCACTAGAAAAATGTCAAAATTTCCTCTTGTAGTTTGGAACAATGTCTTGTTTCCAATGGCTAGAAAGAAAGACTTTCTATTCTGTCTCACACAATTGAATGGAAATGCCAATCTCTAATCTCCCTTTTGTTGGGAAGAGAGGAAAAACACCCCTCTACTTTATGCATTTTAAAGAACCTGCAGATAAATGATACTAGAAAGGAACAGAAAGTAAAAAGAGTTGTGTTGAACTGCATCTAGAGATTTATTTTACTGTGAAGCCAGTTTTAAAAGAAGCTCATTCCAAACGGATATTTTACATCTCATTATGTTGCGTGTCTCACTTAGGCTAGTGATAACAGAAATGCCAGGCACTTCATGCCTGAAGAATTCGAAGACTACCTTTGCATATACAGTCTGCCAAGGGCAAAAGCATCTTCAGGAGCTATTTGGAAATTGCTAAAAATCACATTTCCAGTGTAACTTGCAGAACAATGCAACCACATTTTGTTTTATTGGTACTACAAAAGGGCAGTTCTTGAGACTATACATGTAAAGTGGTACTTCATCATTTCTGTCAAAATTGTATAAATACCAGCGATTACCTCCTGAGACACATACACACATCCTGTATCAGGGGAGCAATCTGCAACACTCAATTTCTCCAAGAGAAAGTACAATTCTTTAGCCTCTACAGCCACATATATTAGGAGCATTGGCTACTTCATTCATTTGGAAGTCATTAATTAAGTACCACAGAATCTTCTACTTCTTTTAATCTGTGCACATGAGAGTGGAATATCTGAGAACATATGCAAGAGACAGATATCAATTCCTAAATCAATTACCCCTGAATGGGCTGACAACCTCTGTTGTCAGTACACAGCTGAACCAGTTTCCTGTTTTCCCTCAGCCTTCTCTGTCACACAACAGACCTACTGCACTTGCAGGATAGACAAAGCTCTCCATAGAAGCAGCAGATCACTTGCAAACACAGACATCACAACTCACACTTGCTGGACGGTCTGCAGATTTGCATTGAATTTCATGTGTCCTGGGGACCGTGTTCACTGCAAAACAGGAAGAAGCTCAGCACTTCACCAAGGTATGTGTTAAGCAGCCAGCAGAGGAGAGCAGCCTGCTGTCAGCAGGAGAGCCATTCATCTCTTCTGCAGGCGCCTTTGAATGCAGTCTGGATGAATTATCCTGACACATTACATATGACCCCCAGGCTATGGCACGTTGACGTCTGATGCACAGGATTTAAAATAATTTCTCAATTTTCTCAAGTCCTGCACATCAACAAAATACAGTACTCGAACCAACACAAACATTAATAAAATGAAAGGATACTGAATGTGCAGGAGTGAGTGCTAAGTACTACAATACTCACCAAAAAAAGATTAATTATTCTTTATAGTTGTAGAAGTCAATTAATCAGAACTTTTCCCCTCCAAGACTGGTTGCTGTTAGTGACTGCTAATCTTGTTCTCACTACCAAAACATGTTACAAATTAATTTTTAAGACTAGTCAATATTTTCCCATTCCTTACTCAGAGAAGAGTGAATGAGAAAATAAAGACACTGGACAGTTTAATATTATAGACTATAAGGGATAACTGATGCATACCAAAACACTGGTCTTATTTTTAACACGTGGCACTGCTTTTCTAAAAGACTCAATTGAACCAGTGGGTTTCCTGAGGCAATTTTACACACATAAGCTATGATTTTCTGTATGTTTATGACTACCTACAGGATGTAATTAAAATTTTCTTAACTAAGCAAAGGTAGAACCAAATCTATTACTTACATTAGCAAAAATGGTGTTTTCAAGCATTCCTTTTAACTGCAAATACACAACTCTTTCTGATTCAATGCACTACCGTACTCTTTCCTCTTCTATTCTAGTTCCTGGCCTCTGCTATTCCCTGCTTTTTATCAGCAGGCCACTAAAAGACACCGTATCTGCTTTTTCCTTTTCTCAGTGTGAGCAAGACAGTTTACACAACAAACAAAACAGCTCCATGAATAAGAAACACTAAGGAATTAAGACCACAGAGACATCTAATTCTAAATGGTTTCTTCGGGTATTTTTAAATGTGCTTGTCTCCTTTAAACTCACAGCTGCTTCCACCAAAATCCACAGAGCTATGTTCTTCAGTAAGAAATCTGTTCCTGTCAGAATTAATTTTCTTAACAAGCCAACAAGCACAAGGGCCACCTGCATCTTTATGCCATCTATTTGCTGCAGTAACACGCTGGTTTGGGCATTTCATCCAGTTACAGATGTTTCACAACATAAACATCCCACACTTGCACAAGCAGAGCCATAGCTCAGTGAACACTTAAAGGCACTTTAAATTAGCACAGCCACAGACAAAGCAAGCCTTGACTGCCTCTCACTTTTGGCCATGTGTTCCCACACCCCTCCTGATACTGGAGGCAAACACTTCTGCAGCCACATGGCTAA